TTCTTTATTTTTATTGCGATTATAGTAGTTTTATTTGAAATTATCGTTAGTTTGTGGTAGTATTGAACTCTACTACTCATATTTACCCTTAAATCATCATCAAAATTGGATCCATAGAAAAATTGAAACGCATTTGGACCAGAGCAAAACTGTGCAATTTTTGCCTTGGGCGCCGACGGTGGGTTTTTCTCGAGAGTCCAGGCAATTAAATTCTAAAGGCTCACCGACAACGCCATCGACGCCGCCGAAGGCGAGACCGGCGGGATGACGGTTTCCGGAGTTTGAATGGACGATTTTTGGCAGTTTTAGGCGGGAGTTACTCCTTTTAAACTTTCAAATTCAATTCCTAAGTTCATATTTCCCAAAAAACAAAGTGAAACTCTACTAAATTCATCCCTATGACGTCCAATTCCCCTTAAAACCATAGAATGCGAGTGTTCAATCGGAGAAAGTTCATTAGTGCGGAGGCGCAACGAATCTTCAACAAGGTGCTGACAAAGAAATAATTAATCAAGGAACGAGGATTCGTAAATCAAGGATTGAATAATCCATCGACGAAAATTGAAGAGATGATTGTGCGACGAAGATGGGAAATGTTGTGCTACACTACAGCCGTCGTAGTTGTTCCCGTGGTGAAAGAAATTTACGCTAATTTGCATGGAATCAACTAGGGAGTTGTCTATGTGCGAGGTAGATGGATAACTTTTACTTCTGCATGGATTAATGAGTTATACATGATCGAGAATGTTCATGTCTGCCATTTTTTCAACTTCGTCCCGACAAGAAACCTGATGAATGAGATCTACCAATATTTAACGGACGAAACTGAAGACTGATAAATGAGAGAGAACGGGTATACATGCCCGCTTCTAATTCTATACATCAATATAAAATGCAGAATTAAGATACGGGTCATGAACATCTGCTCCTGGTTCCCTCCACGTTGTTCCCGTACCAAACACCTCAAAACCCGTGCCCATATCTTATTTCTGCTACAGGACTCTCCTAGACTTTAAAAGTACATAGAGAAAAATAAAAAAACTGAATCATGCATGAAAGCAAGTGTCAGCGGGAAAACTCACATGCAAATAATGTATCATGACTCATTCCTTAAAAGTGGGAGAGCTAATATCATCTGCAAGCAAAATGGTCAGAAATCATTATTTGCTCCCCCATAGCAGCACCTGTGTGTGTGTGCATATAAATAAGCATGACTCCCTGCAGAAGAACGCTCTAATACACTACCATACATATGCAACATGCAGACATACCACAAGCTTAATGCAAAAGAAAGATACCTAGCTAGAGCAACTAATCCAACAGAAAACAATAACAGGCATCAAAAAGATTATATAGCACCCTAAATCCTAGCCTATCACACCATCTAACGAAAAGTGCGTCAACCAAGTATCTAAGTGTGGGGTAGGTCTGGGTACAGTATGACTTTGACAGGGTCGCCATACTGGCCCCATCCTAAAGATCCGAAGGATCTAAAGGGCGTCACGGGGAGTGGTGAAACAAGTTATATCTATTAGATCTTTAGCACAGTCATACTCGTGTCAATCCCGGTGTCTTAACTCGCATTGCTCACCGGGATCAACCCAGCAAACAATGCTCATTAAGGCATCGCGACCAATTAAGGCATCGCGACCAACACCACAAGGTCACTCTCCTAACGAGCCAAACTTGCTACCCATGCAAACATGCAAATGCAAGTGTGGACAATCATTTGACAAAAGTGATGAGTGTACCGTAGGGCAGTGACTCAGGAGAAGATGGGCATACTATGTGGGCAGCGACCCGAACAAATGGGTTTGTCGTAGCGGCAGTGACCCAGAGATGGGTGTGTCGTAGAGGCAATAGCCCGAGGAAATGGGTGTTTCGTAGCGGCAGTGACCACAGGAAGGTGTGTCGAGGCGACAATGACCAAAAGAGATGGGTCTACCATGGAGGCAGCAACCCAAAGAAGGTGTGTCGAGGCGACAGTGACCGAAAGATATGGGTGTGTCGTGGCGACAGTGGCTCGAAGGTGTGTCAAGGTGATAGTGACAGAAGGTGTGGGCATGCCCTGGTGACAGCGGCCCGAAGAAGTGAAGCACAAGCAAATGATAATGATCATTCAAGCGAACACATATAAGATGCAACATGCAAACTGACAAACATGTGATATAATGCAAAAACAAACAAGCATGCAAGTGATCGGTCGATCGAATCGTGGTGGTCGGTCAAACCAAAGTGATTGGTCGACCGGACTGGAGCGGTCGGTCTAACCAAAGTGAGAAGCTCACCGGGCCAAAGCGGCCTATCAAAGCGAAGTGAAATACTCGCTGGATCGGGGTGACCTGTTGGAAGGAAGTAATATGCTCACCGGGTCAGGGTGGCCGATCAGAATGAAGTGAAATGCTCACCTAGTCGAAGCAACCGGTGGGAGCGAAGTGAAATGCAACATGCACCAAGCAAAAAAATGCAATGCAATCCAAAGCACACAAATATGCAAGTAACCAACAAGGCTTGTGCTAGTGACCTCACTCGGGAAACCTAAGGTTTAGACCCTTTGATATACGACATCGCCGCCTCTTTCTCTGGTGAGAAAGTGTGGGGAGTTTCTCCCCGGATCTCTGAGGGGGAAATTCTCCATAACGTCGCGAAATAGGATAGCTACAAAGTTTTTCCCATTTTGCAAACTCCTTCATAAATTGTAAAGAAAGCCAGCTACAAAGCTTCTCTCGCTTTGCCAAGTCCGACCTCCCAACTTCTCCAAGCAAAACTGGGTAACCCAAAGCAAGGAGAGTGAGGGACTTCGACCCCATCAGAACATGTGCTAAGGCTCACAACAAAGGGGAGACATTTGACTCTACGAAGGGTGTTGGCTACGCACGGGAAATCCTAACCATAAGCTTTGCTCTAGGAAATCCAACGATCCATCACGCAGGCACGTCGTCGTGCCGACCTAGACCGACGCACACACCCCATGTGGGAGATCGAACCCACATGCCTAGACACCATTAAAACCTAGGGCCAGCTATGAGTTAAGAAATCTAACCACCGTGACGGTTGCGGACGCGTTTTCTTTGCTTGCTCCAAGCTTGCCGGCGTCGGATCCATACTCCAGTGTACCTTGTCAAACATGCACAGGGCAATAAAAGACCCAATGAGGGCAGGACTCAGTGAGGTATATGACGTAAATATCACAATTTATGACAATACGACCAAAATGTACCTTTGAGAGGGGTTGTTCCATGCCGGCGAAAGAAGGGAAGCTTTCCTCGCAAAGGAAAAGATGAGCACGCCTCTTTAAGCCGCTGTTCTGCCACTGTCCATCGACGGTAAGACACTCTGGTGACATTCTAACCACCGAGGAATGAGAGCCGACAAGGTGCTTCGGCGACGGAGCTTTCCAGTGGAACACACAAAGAAATCCAAGAGAGAGGATGGTGCTCTGCCCTCGATCTTGTGCGCGAAGGAGGCGACGACAGAAACCTTGCTGTCCGAGGTTTCGTCGGTAGAGGAAGCCTTGTCGGCGGGAGAGGGGCCGAAGAGACGGCTTGGCCGGCAAAGGGGAAACTCAAAATGAGAGAGCATGCCGGCGAGGGAGAGCTCGGATTGGTGAGGGAAAAGCTGAGGTCGGTGAAAAGTCGACGTCGAAGTGTAAGGAGGTCGCTGGGACGTCGCCGACGAGAAGGGGAGGCCGCACGTCCGGCTGGCTGAGAGGAGGAGGTGGCGCTGCCTGACCAGCTATTTGGAGGAGGTGCTTGGATGGATAAGGTGGTCGGCGGCTGGAGGAAGTGACGCCGACGTTTGACGGCGAGCAGCGGCGGCCTCTGGGCTTCGAGCTCGGGCTGGGGACGCGCGACGGCTAGTGTTCGCGAGCAGGGTTCGTGCGATTCTAAAGAGGAGCTGTAGCAATAAGTTAAATAAGAGATAACATATAATAATAATATTACTATATAAAAAAATAATATTATTATTATTATCGTTGGTGCATTTCTAGCTCGTACACTTCCTCACAGCGAAGTGTATGTCGTTCTAGGAAAAAATCAATGTTCCAAACACGCTGGTATGATTCGTTTCGTCGTTTAGGGTCGTTTGGACCACTTTTTCGATGATCAGACACAAAATGATAATTCACGTATTTTTAGCCTGCCCGCGAAGTCATTGCGAAATGAACATCATCCCTAAATGGAATCGATGTTCCGGACTCACTCGCATGGTCCGTTTCGTCGTCCGGGGTCATCTGAACGAGCTCACTGGTGATCAGGCCAGTTTGAGTGAATTTCACGCGCGACGCGACGAATAATATTCATTGACCCGATCGGATCCATACGACAAACAAAATGTCGACCGGCCTTCGCTTAAGCGAAAGCCAAAGTCTAGTAGAATGACCTTGACTACATGTCCCTCAACACGTGTTGAAAGGTCCAGGGTGAGTGTCTCGAGCCAACGGATGCTGCGGACGAACCGTAGACCATCTTAAGCCATGCCATCAAACACTCTACACTCGTAACATCAGAAATTAATGCCAACAGACATAGAAGTGAAAATGAAACAACAAAAAAGAATACCATATTTTATTTTGTTCAAATTCTACTTAGTCGACATCAACACATGAAGTGACAAAATTTGATCTTAAAAAAAAATCATAATTGTAATATACAAAATTAGGAGGACATTCTTAAGGATAAATAAAAAAGAAAAAAAAAACTAATTTTAATTCAGAAATTACAATTATGTTTTTTTTTCCAAATTTTAATTCCAAAGTTCACCCTACATAAAAAAGATAAATAAAAAAGAAAATCCAATAAAAAAATCATAATTCCATCACCTCATTTCAAGGTTTATCAATTTCTTGTATGTACTTGAAAATTACAATGCTTTAATGGTACCCTAGTTGGTCAGAGGGTATCTCAATGAAAGATGTTAAAGACTCAATTTCTTGAAACCATAGTTAAGGACCAGTTCCTATAGTAGGTTTATCTTTAAAAGGAAAAAGAGAGGGATACAACTATTTTGTGCACTTCACCAATCCTGATAGAAACAAACTTTGATACTTACTAACATATTTTGCCAAGCTTAATGGATCCACCTACAAGCTATCTTGTGGTGTAATCAAATTCTTGTGTTCCATACCTTGACATAAAGAGTTATACAAGTCAATGTTATTAACATGATTGAATTGAAATAACACACTATTACATCTAAATAGACTATCGAGGCATCAAATAGGAGGAGAGTATGAAGAGACCCGAAAAATAAAAAAATATAAAAAACATGAATAAAACTCAAGATTTTTATTATTTGACTAACATTAAGTTTAGGATAATGGGACACAAGAGAGGATTAATTTACTAAATGTAAGAAATAAATGATACTCAATTTATAAGGACATTTATCAAACCTTTCTAAAACTAGAACTGAGACATTAAAATTTATCCTCATAGTTACTTGACAACTTCAACATTATTTTGTGGAACTCGACACCATCAATAAAAAATTAAGAGTTCATCCTCTCTTTTTAATCATTTATCACTTTCCACAAGTAATATCATAATATGCTATTTTACTTTGCTTTATTTCTTTTTTTAAACATAGTTAAGAAGTTTCTCCCTATAAGGTGATTTCTAATGAAGATTCAAAATTATGTTTTAGAAGCAACAATTTCAAAGTTGATTACTTGAAATGTCACATGCATATTTACTCGATAAGATGCACCTACTTTGCTTGCTTCTGCAAGCCATATAAAAACAATTACCAAGCAAGTCCAAAATTTATCAGTCATATGTCCTATTTTTTCCTCACGTGAAATCTCTAAATTAAACATAACTACCTCTGTTTTGTCGCATATTAAAAATGAAAATATGAATCATTGTATCATACTTCATAGATAAACAAATTTGCATTTAAACTAAAATCATCTTCAAAAAATAATTTGAACTCAACATGCATTATTGAATTGATTATTGTAATCACAAATTATGACAATTTTTTGAACCAACCAAACAACATTAATGATTGCCTTTATTTGAAGAGAAGATTAAAGGAGATTCAAATTGTGTGGAAGATAGAAGATCAAAAGGCTTTGTTAGTTTCACATGTTGATATGTATTAAGAAGTCAAATCCTATAGTTTAATCTTCCCCTAAGTTTGTAAATTAAATTTATATATGAGTCAGCCTAGATTCATATTTCTTATGAAGTTGCACTCTTTTCCTATAATACATAAAGTCTGATAGTAATTTTTTTGTTCCACATCCATCAAGTTAAAACTTGTGTTTGAGCTCTTGCATTGTTCTTATATTTTGTGTGCTAGTCTTGTGAAGCAATTATAAGTTCGTCACATCACAACAATCTTGTCTACTTTAATATTATACGAGTTATTTTTTTTAAAAAAAAACATTGATATTGTCGATATAATTTGTAGTTTTTATCAATCGTAATCATTGGAACATTTCTAAATTTGATTTGAATATCCTTTAAGTCAAAGAAACTGGAGAAGAGTTCAACAATCTGAGTCATCAAAAGAACTTTGGATGATTTGGATTGATTCTACTTGATTTTATATTTCAAAATTATTAGACCCATCCAAAATGATATAAATGACAGAGTTCTTGTAGCTATATCATGAAAAAACCACAGTCAATTGAACAGGAAACTACTCATTCTCAGCCACAATCCTCAACATTATCATCTCATAGACAAAACTTAAATTTAAAGAGGCAAAATAGTATTTCTCTATTTCTTGTACATCAAGTCCTTACAGTATTCCCAAAACTGATATCTAGAATTACTAACTGATGACTGGTACTAACTTTACATATTTATATCTATACATATATAGTATTATACAATAATACACGCACACATACAAGCATGGCTGAAACCAAACTCATAAGTCTCATTTATAGTAACTGAACTTTCCACTTATGCAATCTTCATTTCAATATATCTGCAATTGTTACTCCATCCATTTCACCCAAGAAGAAAAGCTTGAATTCAGCTAGCACCACTTGGTTGATTAATGAGCATATTAAACTGGAGATTCACAAGATTTCTGGTCTGGTGAAGTGAAAGGCAGCCACTTACTCTTTGATTTTGATTTCTTATTTGATATTGCAATGGCAATGTCATTTGGGAAGAGGTTTTTGAACACAAAGGCATGGATGATTGTATTAAGAAGAAGAATCGATACAGTCAAGGTAGAGACTGTTGAGAGGGGAAGGAGAGCTTTTGAACTATAATTATTGACTTGATCTGCATATCTTATTGTTGCAATCGCAGATCCAGCCATTGGAAACGTGTATGCCCACCATGCTAATGAAAACCTATCAGATTTACAGTATGTTCAGATAAAGCAGTTCCAGAGATTATATATTAAGTTATGAGAAAGTTATATGAAAGCTACCTAAATCCTCTGAAGAAACTAACTCGAACAGCCTGCAAAAATAAAGAGCAATCATGAGAAGGATTAGATTGATGGATGCTAATGATCTTTTTAATAACTAATTTAGATTTGCTTGTGGATCTTTTTTTTTTTAATCTTATTTGTTTGAATATTCACTTCAAATATACTACAAAATCTCTAAATTAGTAAAATTGATATGCTATAGAGAAACTTACAAGGGAAGAATATAGGAACATGGCGACGAAGTAAGGGATTCTTGCACCAATACCAAATTCACCAGAAATTTTAGCCCATGCAGTGCAAGCAACACTAGGTGCAGCTATGAATAAGAAGAAGACTGGATGAAGATCCTTTGGCAGAGTGTCATTTGTTGGAAGCCTCTGATACAAAGTGACAAATAGCACAGTGTAATGCGCCAAACCAACTGCAAAGAAAAATATAGGACCTTCTTTAAGTCCTATATTTGCCCCTAACAATGCACCAACAAAGTTTCCGACCACGGCCAAATGATTTGAAGGATTAGCCACCTTCGAAAGCCTTTGTTCACCTCCGAGCATCCACTGGCCATACATCTTCAGATCAAGGCAGAGTATTGGGACCATGAGCACATACCATAAGATATCAGGTATGCTTTTCCCAACTTGCGGGGGCAAACCAATTGCGAAAAATAGACAAGCTACCCATGGAGCAAAAAAGAAGTTGATTCTCACAGGATGGTAGTACTCTCTTTTTACTGCTGCAAAGTAAAATATGATCTTAAGAAGATATATTGAGGCCACCAAGCTAAATACGCCAATTGAGATGCACCACAGGACAATATTGATGGTTGGGCTTATATTCATAAAGCTCATTGAGGGAGATAAAGCCAGTGCTTTCCATAGCATGGCTTGGCTTCCCACACCAAGGCATATACCGAAAGTGGATATCGGAAATCGAAGTAGAAAAGGCCATGTCTTGTCATTAGGAAGAACAAGCTCCTCTGATTCCTAAAATTTGCAGGAAACCAAGTATTCATCACATGGGCAATTAACTAGAGATGATGCAAATATTAATGAAAAATATGTAATCACTTACTCTCAGAGTGTCTAATTCTGGTCCTTCTAAGGCGTCCAAGTAACGATCCAATGCTGGCAAAGATTCTGTTTCTGTGTCTTGTGAATCGTTGATGACATTAGGAGGCTCAATTGGCTTCCCGCGAAAATTTGAGAACTGCCTCTCTAATTTTCCTGACATTTTCTTGAAGGCATCATAGCTCGTGTCTTTGAAAGTTTCATGCGGTTGCCAATTGGCAAATCTACTTGCAGCAGAGACACTGGAACACATGCGTTTTAAAAAGTTTCTGAAATTTTTTGTTGGTGCAGTGTTGTTTGAATCCCCATTTTTCAAATCAGAATTCTCTGGAATGCTTTCTTGGCCGTTAATGCCAATTCCTCTCCCTGTTTTATCATCAAAGACAAGCTTTTGGGATTGATAGATATCTGCAGCAGAATCAGAAACAGGTAGGAAGATTGAAACAGACTGAAATCGCTTAAGAGATTCATTTGGCTCCATGGAAGAACATTGAGGATGACTATCAGCTCTTGCCGAGTAAACTTGGCCTTTTTTTGCATCTGCTCCCTGAAATAAAAAGTTGAGGTTTTTTAAAAAATGAACTTTTCTTCAAACGGGAATGAAATTATCAAACAAACCAAATTAGAGTCTTGAAGCATCACACCTCCATATGTATACTGTAATTGTTGAATTGGAGTTGGTTAAGAGCAAGTGGCAATTTGTAAGGAGAACATAATGGCCTTATATACTTGCAAAAAACCTGAAATATCTAATTTTTTTTTCATTCAAACATTTTAATGGAAAACTAGCTATTTGTGCTTGGAATGGACACGCAATAGCACAGTCTCACAACAGGCGGCGATGTAAGGCTAAACATTTAATAATACAATTGATTTGGAATGCGTTTGTAATGTAGTCAACCTAATGAAATGATGCGCAAGAAAGGACTCTCGGAAAAACATATGAGTTTTAGTAATCAGGATATGATGACTAAATTGGGACACTCAGATACTACCAAGTCAAGATGGATGAAGTCAAACAAATTTCAATATATAATAAGATGAAATTTCTGATCTCTTAAAAATTTTCTTGATAAACTCGTTGAAAATTTTAAAAAAAAGCTTTATTGTGCAATATGTATCAAATAGTTTCCATACATCCCTCAAAAATAATATTTATTGACATGGAACTTGGTATATATTTGGACCAGATATTAAAAAAAAAAAAAAAAGGAAATACTGACTCTACAGTTTATGATCAAATAAAGTGTTTCAGTGAGACGAATCAAATGAAATAAAAAGACAACTTGAGTTGTGTCCAAGTGAAACTAGATATGCACTTAAAACATATGAAGAAATTTTTTAGATGATTTTTGGGAATCAAATTATCTTCAGATCTAATAAGTTTATCGTCAAATCGAGCATCTCGACGAGAGAAATAAAATGAACCCATGATCATCGAATTTTGACATCATTAAGTTATTTAAATAATCATAAAATTGCATTCTATTAAGGTGAAAATAGGGTGTCATCTGATATAGTGGTCTGAATTCATGAAACATTTGTGCATAATGTCACTCCAGAAATCTATGAATAGATCCCACTCTCTTCATGACAGGAGACTCGGACCTGGGTGAAAAGACAAAAAGTTCTACGCTCTTGAAGACTTCTGAGCTCCACCGCTGTATGATTGTCACAGATTGACTGTTATGGTTGTTGGAACACGTTACTGTCGTTGCGCCAGGCGACTATCTTCAAGTTGCCTTGCCACGATCGGTCCAACATCGTTGAGCCAACATTGTCGTTGTTGAGCCACTACATTCTTCATCTTGTAACCATTCACCGAACGACCAATTGCAGGACACTGTCGCAGTGCCAGACCATTAACGTGGAGTGAAACCAAAATTTTTGAGTTGTCTTCACGCCCATCTGACCACCACTATTGTTGCCATCAGACCGCCATCATCAAACCACTTACTCTAGGTCACCATCATTGTGCTAGACCATCACTGGATTGCTGTGGCAACCAGACCACCAACACCTTATCAATGTCAAGCCACAGTTGCCACTATCAATTAGCCACTACCGCTGTTGTTTGGCCACCATCATCAGACCATCGTTGTTGTACTAAGAAATAGTCAACAAAATGCCACTGTCATAAGATAAACATCACCCATACAAAGTCAACGGACTGTCTCCATGTCAGACTACTGATGTTGGGTCACTATCGTCGAGTTCTCACCACCACCATCAAGCCTTCATTGCTGAACCATCGACGTATGTCTGACTACCATCGTTGGGTTGTCGTTTACATGCGACCACCAACACCCGTCAGATGTCAAGTCACTGCAACCATCAATCGCATTTCCTGGACATCGTAATATTTTTTTCATCATCATAGGACCACCGACACCCAACCCATGTGAAGACACCATCAGATCATCATTATTGGACCACAATCACCATTTTGAACCTTTTTTACCATGTTGTTGATGCCATAATACTACCATCACTTGAACAGTTCAGTGTCATAACTCCGACCATTATCTCCAGCCCACCATCAATGTTGTCAAGTTGCCACCAGAAGACTAACATCATCACTATATCATCATATGTTGGCCACCGCTGCATCACCGCCGAGTCAAACCACTTTCATAAAGTCATCGCCATCTTTGAGACGTTGTCGCTAGACCACTATCGCTTTATCGAAGCTATAGTTGTCACTGCTATCATCTTACCACTACTGCCTTTTTCAGGTAATTATCTCTTGGCCATCACCATCGTTATATCACATTCGCCTATCAACCACATTAACACGATCAAATGTTGATATTGTTGCTACTACCACTATTGCTTATTCATTGTCGCAGGTTCTATTAGTCCACAAGTGCATGACTGATGTCATTGCCACCATTATACTTCTATTGTAAAATTGTCATTGCTATATCACTCCCATCTTGCTATTTTTGCAAATTTTGTTAATCACCATTACCAAGCAACTGCCGCCATCGGTGCTAATAAATCTAGATTTCCATCAAATAGCCTCTACCGTCAATCTTCTATCATTGCAGTCAGATCACTATCACTTCTCAAATATTTTCTCCTATTCTTGTAGTAATATATTATATTATTTCCGAACTAAGAAATTCTTGTAACATATTATTGCATTGTGGAGCCTAGATGCACCCATAGTCGAAGATGCTCCGATGCCTGAATATGGCAAAATCATGTCCAAAACGGTTGTAGTTTCATCAGGTTGCATAACTACATTGCAACGAGGATTGCCACACCACAAAGGATTGCTAATTTTCGTCTTCTTTCTGACAAAGCAAAACAATTACGCCGAAAGTAGGCTTGACCACGCCAAAAAGTACGTTCCTTAAGTATGTGATTTCGAACAATGAAGATAAAATCACTCACATGGAGTGTTTCAACATGGTTCTCCTGACATGCACTTTCTCTTGCAAGATCAAGAGAAAGGGTTTGTAGCAAACTCTTGTAAGTTCTGTTGATTGTGTAGCGAAGATTTGAGTGAGTATTTTTGTACATTTCTTGTTCTTTTTAATGAAAATTTCACAACGGTGCGGCTCCATGATTTTTTCCCATCCTTGACTTTTTTCATGTAAATCTTGGTGTAATTTTTTTCTGAAATTTTTGTTGTGCTTTTGTTCGAATTTTTATTTTAGATTTCTCAAATTGGTGGGATCCTATTTCGCTGCGCGATTTTGATTTCCAATTGATTGAAGCCATAGAACTATACAAGATTCCAACCCAATAAGTGGTATCATACCAGTGTTTTTTTTATTCGAGTTGAAGCAATGACCAATGAAGCAAGTTATGAAGCAGAGAAGTTCAATGGATCTAACTTCACATTCTAGAGGAGTCATGTGAAGGATTTGTTATGCATATATATATATATATATATAAATATATATAAAATTCATTTCAATAATAGTTCTAAGATTAGGATTCCTTGGATATATATGAATCTCATTTTCTTCATTAGAAAATCTAGTTATATTTTGATACTCCATTATACCTCCCACAAGAACTTTTGACATGATAATTTTGGTGGCATGAAACCCATCAATAAAAATACTTGATCCTCCCACGAGCTGCTAGCAGAAGACAAATGGCTGAATGGTCATGGGAATTTCAGTCGGCCAATTACTGCAGACAAGGCTGCGGGAAATATTTAATCATATATAATTTTTTTTTTAAAAAAAAAAGATAAAGATCATAAGAAAAAAAATACAAATCTATTAAGAAAGAGCAAGATATTTTAAAAATAATATGTTATTAAATCCTTGAATAAAAAAAAAAATAGTAAAATCGGCTCGATTTTATTTTATTGTATTTGTACAAATGAAAAAAAAAAATATTCCATACGTCAGCTGTCCGTTCTCGACCGTCGATCAAAGCAAAACTGTATTTCGATGGGCCCCACTTAAAACAAAACAAAAAAAAAATAAAAAAATTGTGATCGACGGCCCAGATCGGAAACCGTATGAAAAAATTTCTCGTAAAAAAAAATAAGATACAATAGAAAAGTGTAAAAAAAGATGCAAAAGAAAAAACAAAATCAACTTGCTTTCATTATTATATTCTACAATAAGACAAACAATTCAAAGCATATATTATTCAAAGCATTTATATATACCAAAAGATAAAATATTTAATGAAATTAGAATATTTAAAAGCAGGAACATAAATAAAATATAGTTGTAAAAAATTATTAAAAATGTATTTATTAGTCCAAATAGTTATATTAAATTATTTGTAAGATTGGGCATTTATTTTTGTATCAAATCAATTACTCATAAATCCTTTGGGATAAATCAGCAGGGCATAGCTAATCGGTAGTTGTGCATGTATTCACCTTATAAAGCAGTCACTCTAGTAATATATATCATATAAATATATAAAAGATATTATCATTATAGATTTATTTTATCTTCTTTTTAATATCTCTTTTCATATATGCTATGAATTATTAATGTTATAAAATATAAACTAATGCATATTATTCAATAAATAGGGTGTAAAATAGCAGGGGGGGGGGAGATATAATTATACAGTAATGAACAATAATTTGAAAGAGGTGTTCGTAGCATAATTCTCTATTTATAGAGAAATGTGGTACAATATGTGAAATTACATTTATTCCCCTACTTGATAAGGGGTTGTACGCGTTGTTATAGATGATTTACATATGTGGGGCCCAGGGCCTGATTGTTCTAAGGCTCGGTTAGTTGGACTGGCGAGCCATTTGTAGGCGTTGTCGGTCGGCTAAGTTTGGTGAATATTATCGGTTGGCTACGCTAATGAGGCTTCTCGGTTGGCCAAGTCCGGTAGGGATTGTTGTTCAGTTAGGCATAATGTTGTCGGTTGGTTGTACTTTCATTGACAAAGGATAGGCAAGATGGACTCAGTCGACTAAATCATGTCCACTGATTGGTCAAGTTTGGTTGCTGACCCTCGATCTCTAATAAGGAGCTTCTGTTGACAGAGAAGAGCGGGTAAATCACAACAATTTAATGTGTAGTTGTGCTTATACGAAGAGATATAGAGGAATGACTGAGACTTATCTTATTGATTCTTGATGATGTTCAGAGAATGTTGGTTACCTCCGATAGAATTTTACGACCCGATGGGTTACTTCTCACTTGGG